TAGAATGTTTAGCTGTAGTATAGGCAGTTGAGCATTTTTATCAATACTTAGGAGAAAATCATTTCTATATAATTACTGATCATGCAGTCTTAATATGGCTTAGAACTACAAAATTAACTGGAAGAAGAGCCAGATAGATTATGTGTCTAGAATCTTATAATTTTACTATAATCTATAGAGCTAAAAGAAAACACAATAATGCTGACTCATTATCAAGAATGTATGAATTGGATGAATCATCAGAAAAAGAATATAAAGTAAACTTGTTTGATTTATTTACTAAAAAAGAAGCCTTAAAGATGCTCTCAAAGAAAACCCTATTACTATTCCAGTAGATTGGAATGAAGAAGAAATCTTTTATCTTACTAAAGAATCTGAGAAAAATAAAAATTACCAAATTACTGAAGATTTTTATTTTATGGACAACCCTTGAAGTAATGTTGAATTTCTAAATAAAACAGAAATATCTTCAACAAATAATTCAGATATAGAAAAGAAACCCAAAATGCATAAAGATGTTTAAACTGCACAAGATCTAGAAGTAATTAAACAATATTATATAACAAACTACCACCTATCCTTCTTGATAGTATGAGACTATATAAATGAATGACTTTTTCACCTAATAGAATAGAATATAATAACTAGTTCTGTACATAGTATTATATTAAATATATTAGCAATGATTTGGTATTAAAGATAAAAACAAAGAACTTGCCCAAGATTAGAAAGGTCCCTGTACTCAATATTGGTGTGGAAATAAACTCTATAGCCTTTGTGATAAATGTTCAATCTGCTATGTTGAATTGTGACTTTGGGCAACAATCAAACAATACTTCATTGAAAAAATAAAACAATGTTATTGAAGTACACCTGATGATGATTATGAAGAAGATCCAACCTTGCCAGAACCTTATTCCTATGAACCTTTATCTTTAGAACCTTTATTTGAACAACAGTTAGACCCTTTGGTTATTCAACAAGCTACTACTAATGTTCAAATAAACTACTATAATATTCAGCTTAGTTATATTCTAATCAACAAACCTTGGTAGTTACCATTATTAAAAACCCCTTCCCAACATCTTTTGAATGAACATAACAATTTTTCTTCTAACTACCTTTGTAATTCTATATGGTAAAATACACCTAACTCTACCTTCTATTATTAACTTATTATTCTTTTAAAGAAACCTGACAATAAGCACAATTCAGTCTAGATAGTTGGTATTCTAGCATTATACTTGAAAATCTGTTAAAATGGAACCTGAACATTATTAAAATATCAAATTATTTTTGAAAATAGTCACCTATCCTACATACTTCTCAAAACCCCCAAAAGAATAACTGCAAAAGAAAAGTCAATATTTCTGTATTAGAAATAACCAATTATATAAAAAAAAACAAAACAAAAGCCAAGATTCACTAAAAGTAATTCAAAAACATGAGGTTGAATCTGTATTATACCTTATGTATAACCACCCTCTTGGAACATATTTTGGAACTAACAAAATGTTTGACAAAATCAAAAGTTATTATTATTGACTTTAAATATATGAACATATTCAAAATTATATGAATACTTGTGATAGTTATCAAAAATAAGAAAAATATAGACAATATGGTCCTCTACATCTTATCAAAATAGAAGTACCTTTTGACAAAATTGGAATTGATTTTGTTGCACCACTTCCTTCTACTACTTAAGAAAACTGATATATAATCGTTGCTATGGATTATATGACTAAGTATTCTGAAGCAAAGGCAGTGCCAAATGCAACTGTACAACAAACTGCTGATTTTGTCTATGAAGATATTATTTGTAGACATGGATGTTCTAATTTTATACTCTTTGATCGAGGAACACATTTTAATAATTTGCTAATTAAAAGTATAATGCAAAAGTTTCAAATTAAATACTTGTTTACTACTTCTTATTATTTCTAAACAAATGAATTAGTAGAACATTTCAATAGAACATTGTATGAATCTTTAGCAAAACTAGCTAATAATAATACTGAATAAGACAAATTAATACCTTCTGTCTTATTCTTATATAGAAGTTCTAAGCATGCAACTACTAAATTCATACCTTTCTTGCTTACCTATAGCAGAAAACCAAAGTTGTCTATATTTAGATTTCAAGACAACTTAGAAGAAAATCTTTTAACAAGATTGTACACAATTGTAGAAGATTTATCTGCAAATAAAGAACAAACTAAGAAAAATGTTGAGAAATCTCAATAATGACAAAAATTCTATTGAGACAAGAAGTTAAAGAAAGTTCAAAAACTATTTGAAAAAGAAGAGCAAGTATTGTGTTATGATGCTGCAAGAGATAAGCATTATACAGAAAAATTTTTGCCAAAATAAAAAGGACCTTATTTTATTCATGCCAAAATAGCACAAGATGTTTACAAACTTCATATCATGAAAAGACAAATTTTAGAAACACCAATTAATGCATATTTATTAAAAAAATACTATACTTGTTGAACTTGAAACTCTACTATTATTATTAATTAGACTTCAAAACTTTTATTATTAGTTATTTATATATTTTATTATAAAAAAATAATAGACAAAAACAACAAAAAAAAATAAATAAAACAAAAATATCAAAAAAAATAAAAAAATAAAAGACAAATAATAACAAAAAGAAAGAAAATAATAATAATAATAATATATATATAAAAAATTAAAAACCAATATCTGATATTCTATCCCTATTATTGTTATTACCTTTCTTTCTTCTTTCTTCTGCCCTTAATCTTCTCAACTTCTTCTCATTATTTGCTAACCTTATCCTTAACTGATTTCTTTCTTCTAACAATCGAATATACTACTGCTCCAACATCTAAACATCCTGCATTCTTGCAACTGCATTTACTTTCAACTCTTCCAACTTCATCTCCAAACTCTGTATCCTTCTTCTTAATGAGGCCACCAACTGATGCAAACTATAAACATGTTTTATTAAGTGACAAAAAAAAGAAGAAGAGAAAGCAAGAAAATTTTAAAGATAATATTTACCACCTATTCTCAATTTAAACTATCTCTAAGGCCTTATACAAGGCATTATTGTTATTTTAGTTAGCATGATAAATTGCATTATTGTTATTATTATTGTTGTTGATGTTGTTAAGGTTGTTGTTAAAAATTTTACAAAAAAAAAAGAGAAGCAACAAAAGAATTATAATTTTTAATAAACAATAATAAATCAAAATTAGATACCAATAAGAAGTTAATTTACCAAATTTAGAAATTAATTAGAAATTGATTTAACAAATTTAGAATGACACAGATTTGTAAGTTGCATAATTGCAAATCACATAAAATCCTAGTATCTTATTGGACATTTGACATATTCTAATAATCTTCAAAAGGTATACAAATTTGAAATTTAGTAATATTTTTAGTATGAATTAATAGTATAAGATGTATTACTAGGCAGTATAAGTCATATGTTTGAGACTGGCTAGGGTAAGCTTTCTGCTAGAATCTGAGTCTTGTAAGGCTCTTAGTTAAAGTACTAGAAATAGAATTTTTTTATTTCTCTTTAAATAATTATACTTATTTTTTTTTATATTCATTTTTATTAGTTAGATATCAATACTTTATTTTTATATATTATACTTTATACCCCCTAAAAAAAAGAAAAAAATTTTTTTTACTTTTTATTATTATTTATTTTAAAAATGACAACTGTTATAGAAATATTCTTGCAAGAATTAACTAAAATAGAACCAGCTAATGTTATTGTCAAACCTCCTTCTTACAACTATAAGGATAAAACTAGAACAAAAGTTCATCTAACCTATCAAGCTCTAAGAAATATAACTAGACTAAGAAACCATAACAATGACCATTTGAAAACTCTTACCTATATCTACTATTTAGGAGAACTTTTAGAAACCAAATTATAACCTCTAGTCTAACGAACAATATTAGTAAACAGATTAACTAAGCACTATAAAATAGCCTCAACAATAGTTAATAAAATCATCTCTCGATATGAAATAGAAGTCATCTACAGAACTAAATTCTTAAACTTAACAAGTTTTAAGAAATTAACTTCTACTGATCTTGTTTTTCTTTGCTAAGTTCTTATAGAATTTGAAAATAAGTTTGGAAGAATGTTAATCTACAAAAATAATCATAACTCTTGAATCATTAAACAGAATTTGATGAAACTATTACTATTCGAATCAGCTCACCAAAACGATTCTAACAAGCTATAGATCATTTATTTCTGATCACAGAATTATAAGATCAAATCTAATAACCAAATTAATAGTAAAGCTAGAATCTGATTAGTTGAATGATTACTGCACGAAATATTATACATATAATATATATAACATTTATGCATTTTGGAGCATATATATTTTATATTATATTTAGTTCATATATATTATTTAATTTATTTATTTTATCTATTTAATATATTGTTAACCTATAAAAATAACTATAACTCTAGAACTACTAGACAGAATTCGATAAAACCACCATCATTCGAATCAGCTCACTGAGATGGTTCTAATGAGGTATAGATCACTCATTTCTGATCACAGAATCCCAAGATCAAATCCAATAACTAAATTAATAAGAAAGCTACGATCTGATTGGTTGAATAATTACTGCGCAAAATGTCATACATATCAAACATATAACATTTATATGATTTAAAGCACATATATATTATATTATATTTAGTTTACATATATTATTTAGTTTATTTCTTTTATCTATTTTATATATTAAACATATTTTATTTATTTTATTAATAGTAATTGTAAAATATTTTGTATATATAAAAGATATAGGCCATTATAGCATAATGAAAATTGGTTTTAATTGGCTAATATTTGTGATCTACATGTAAACATTACACCAAACACAAAATTATACTATATGATAAATTGACCAATAAAAATGTCAAATCATTATCATATGATTAATATAGAAATTCTTTCGAAAAATTAGCTAAGTGTCTTTAATTGAATGAAAGCATATTGGCTTCATTTACAGTTTATTAGAAAAGCTGTATATCAGAATAATAAGCTTTAAGAATCACAAAACGGTAGTGATGATATGCAGTAAAGCACTTAAATAAGATTTTTAAATTGAAAAACTTCATTTCACTTCAAGAAATATATCAACTAAAATGATTTACAAATGAAAAATAAAAATTTGAAATCATGTTATCAAATGAGAAATTACTCAATTTTGAAGACTAGTCCAATATAGAAAAATATTTTATATATAAATTGCACAAATGTAATCACATTTTTTATAAATCAATTAAATATTATCAGGTGGCTCTTCATATATCTAGTTAAAATATTTTCGTGTTTTGTAGTATTAATTAAAGTAGCACAAATTATTTTATATAACGATATATAATAAAAAAAAATTGTTTTTAGTAAAATAAATGCACTTTTTTCAAAGAATTAAAATTTTAAAATTTAAAAAAAATTTTTTTAAAAAAATTTTTTACAAATGACAAAAAAATCTCGGCTCTTGTTCTGTTCGTAATTGTCAGATTAGACCAAATTAATATCACAGAATCATGGAATATGCTCTAAGAAAAACAAAAAAAAAACTCTTTTAATAGGCATAACTATTTAAAAGTTGAAAAGCAACTGTGCTATCCTTATTATCATGAAATTGTTGAACCTGACTGCTATAATAAATCATCAATTAATAATAATGGGCAAGATCACATGATCGTTAGAAAACCATTATCATTTGGGGAAAAAATTACTTTAATGACTAAAGTGTTATACAAAAAACAAAGAGAAGAAAATAATACACTAGAATTAAACTCAGATTATTTTCAGACAATGCTTGAAGATGCTGAACCACAATTGGTAGAATTCTTTGATGAGCTTTACAATGCATTTATTCCAGAAAGACAGTCAGTTTACAATAGAAAAGAAGATAAAAAAAAGTAGTCAATATATGTTACTCAATTGAGGCGATACGTAATAGACTTGTAAATAACTATTTTTTGAAAATTGAATTATATTTAGTGGCATCAGGTGCTTCTTGTGATGCAATTAATGCAATGCATAATGCAGGTATTAAGTTTGTTATAAGACTATTGATAATTACAGAAAAAAAGTTGTAGCTGTACATCTAGAAAATATTCGAAAATATTTTGCTAAAAAAGTAACTATTATAAAATAAAATAAAAAATGAAAACAAAAATAATAAAATATGTTATCAGCATCCTGAAGATTTCTAGATTAAAATCAAAAAAAAAAAATAATAATAATAAATAATAAAATTCAAATTTATCCAAAATTCTGTAATTACAGTTAAGATGTAAACACAATGCCATGCTAATAAGTTACAAAAAAAAAATGCTATAACTTATTTATAATATATAATTTTCCTAAATTTTAACATTTTTAATATTAGATTAATAGTTTTTTCATATATAATATCGATGATTATCACAATATACATGGAATAAAACATCCTGACACTGTAGTTCTTTCTGCTTCTATTCATTTTTCAACATGCGTCAGTAAGGAAATTACAAGATGTGCACCAATTCCAATAATTTATAACAATAATTCGGTCCATAATCCTACCAATATTGATGCATTCTTAATTTGTTTGTACTTAATTACGCAGTATCATGGAATTTTTGATCTTTCCTATTTACAAAGAAAAAATCAGTGGACTGCTTTACAAGGAATTGGGCTCATTAATTTTGATAAAATTGATCTTTTAACTATCCATTGCTATAATGATGCTATAAAAGAAAAAGAAGCAGAAAGAACTATAGAAGAAGTTCGATTAGTTGAGATTAAGAAGAGTCAACTTCATTTCCTAGATGATTAATTAAATATTCTGAAAATGATTCTCTTAGTAAATGAAAATGCTGGGCTTACCAATAATTATGTAATGCTTATCATTGCTGACTGGCCTGGGCAACTTTTTATATGGAAGGCATTAACTAATTTGCATCATCAAAATACCAAAATACCAGCTTCTATAAATGCCTTCATACCTATATTAGGCCCACTTCATGTTTCATTAAACAGCCAGAAGCAAGTTCTAAAAATATATTATTCTTTTTTTAAAATGCTCTTTTATGCAGTTTTTGAAAAGCGTAAAACTCTTGCAAAAAAACCAAAACCATGAAGAATAAATCTCCTTTTCAAACTTGCTTATTAGGGATGGATAATGATAAAATCAAAGATATTAGCTAAATTTGAAACTATGTGTAAGGATGTGGAATATATGATGTTAGTTGACCTTCTTGATACTATCATTTCTGCTACTTTGGATATATATGCGATTCTCTTTCGTTCAGGCTCTTTCAATGAATATATTGAAATGGTTTTCCGAATATAGACTTTTGCTCTTCGTTGGAACCATAAAAACTACAATAAGATACCTTTGGTGTTCTTGTCAGATATTTTTTATTGGCAAGAAAAAGAACACCCAATATTAGATATAATTAAAATGTTTTTAGTAAATTTTAACGATTATTTCATTGAAAATTTTCATAGCAAAATACAAGCAAATACATCTTTCTATAATAGTGCTGATACTATTATTAAACAGGCTTATGTCTTAGGTATTAAAAAAAAAAAATTTTATTTAAAATAATTTAATTGATACAGTTAATTTTTTTTTAAAAAAAAAAAATAGATGCAAATAAAGAATTACAATTTAAAGAAAGTTTCACACAAAAAAAGGTATCCGTATATGCTCTCTAATTTAGAATATTTGGCAAATAAAACATCATTATTTTTGTTAGATTATTTTTGCCAAGTGTTCTACAATATTAAGATGGTTGGTAGTATAACAGGTAAATCATAAAAAAAACAAAGAAAAAAAAAAAGAAGTTTTAAAATACAAGGTTGCTATCTTAAATAAAGAAGTCGATATTATGTCCTTACCTATAGGTTATAGTACAAGCATTCCTCCTTTACAAGGACTTTGTGATGACTGCTTTGATTTATTAAGCAAAAAGAGTGATGGTACTGTCTTGATTTGTGGTTATGGTTTTCACTGGTACTGCTATGAAAAGATGAAGTATGGTTGCTAGCATTGTGAACAGTACTATAAGAATGATATATACAAAAATGTTAATTTATTTTTGAAAAGACTTGAAAAAGGAGTAAATTATATTACTGAGGAGGATGAAATTGAAGAAGAATCACAGGATTCTGAAAAGACAAAAGAAGACACATAGGAACATAAGTTTATTCAAAAGAGAGATGAAAGAGATGTATTAAAATTACAAAACGCATTAGAAGATATAGATAAATGATAATGAAGCATCATATAAATGTGTTGCACTAACTTTTTTACCTTCTAAGTTGTAAAAGTTAAAATAACTACTACAGTGTTCATACCTTTGTCAACTTTTACACATAAGCCAGCTATCTTTAAATACTTGATCCCACTTGATCTAAAAGTTTTAAAAGACCCGTTAGGGCACTAAGAACATACTAGTAAAAAAAATTGGTTGTTACATAAATTACTTTAAAAGTTTGCTATATTACTAATGCTAAATACATAGGAATTTTATAAGGATCTATGATTTATTGACCAATCATATTTGATTTGATAATCAAAATTGATAGCCAATAAAAACCAATTTCTATCATGCTGGCTGTTATATTTATTATGTAACCAAAAAATATAAAAATGGCAGATGTAGACCCCAAGTTCAACATTATGTCTTTATACTCTTTTACTAATAAACTACTACTTTGTAGTACCCAAACTAAACAGTTATTAGTATCTTCATATACTTTTAATTGTAGCTTCTTTCATATTTAAAATTGTCTTAAATCTTCTTTGTTAAGTTTTTTAAAATAAAACACCTTCTGACTTAGTTATAACACAGTAACAAGTGAGGTTACAAAAAGTGTTTATTGTCTAAGGTCACTTTAGTTACCTACTATCTTAAAAGAAGTAGATATAGGATAACAAATTGGTAATGACTGTAAGATTACCTACTCTTTTTCGTATAGAAATTAAAAAACAAGAAAGAAACTTTAGCTTTGTAGAATGTTTGGCACTAAGTAAAGTCAATCAATTTTAATTTGTTTGAGCTGAACTTTTATATATATACTCTTTAAAGGATTCTGTATCTTTTTTACTAGACTTATCTTAGAACAAAACCTTTCTGGAACCCACAATCATACTGACAATGTTTTTCTTCTCCAAGAAAAGGATCTGCAAAGACTATTGGTCACATGATCTATATCATGAAACCAAATTGAAAATTGAATATTGAGACCACAAAACTAAAATTGGACTAATACTTGATACCTAAAAGAGGTATTGCAACTGCACAAATATCTGAACACATTGAAAATACTCTTGCTTGGAAAGCTCTCTCTTATAAGAAGTTTTTTAAACAAGAATTAGAAAAATTAGTTAATTTTACTGAACAGGAAGACAGAACTTTTGTCTTTTCTTTAAAGACCCTTAAACTAGCTAACTATTATTTTACTCAATTAAAACAAACCCAAGTTTCTGACTCTTAGAAAATATACAAATATATAATAATTTTTTATCTATTATATAAACTTTAATTTTCAGGGATATGCATTAAAAATATTTATAAATCAAAGAGAACATTTAGTAGGATCTTCTTTGAGTCAAACAGACAACTTTTGCAATATTTGCTACCCAGTAACTACTTTTATTCCCCAAAACTTTCAAAATTTCTATCAGTGGTATTATATACAATATTCTGCTAGTGATTTTTCTAACAAATCATTAGAATATTTCTAACAGATATCTTCTATTTATATTTAGTTTAACCTACTTCAATTGAAAAATACTATTTTTAAATTTATTTTTAGTTTTAGATATACCTGTTCTCCTGGTAATATTATTAAATAATTAACAGTATAGCTAGGTTAGCTATATATACTAGTTGTTTTTATAGGAACCCTTTTTCTTTAACTAATATAGATTTTGAAAATGATCGCTTTCACAATGATTTTAAAAATTATAGTGATTTATTTTAAAACCTTTTCTCTCTAACAAACTCAGCACAATCTAGTCCTACATTTGAACCTGCTAGTCAACTTATCAATACAATAGTTACTAATTAACAAATCTTAGACTTTCTAAAGGACAATGAAAAAGGAAATATGTTATTAAGAATTGAATCATTTAGAGAAGATGGAACCCAAGACCCTTTTACTTGGATTAAAGATTAAAATAAAGCTTCCAAAGCAAACAAATAAAATTTAGTTAGGAAAAAGAATATTCTCATTGCCTTTTTAAGAGATAATGCTGATGATTGAACCTCTACTATTGCTGATTATACTAATGAAGAAACAACTTGAAATTATATAGAAACAGCTTTTACAAATACCTTCTGCACTCAATGATGACAAAATAAATGGCTTAGAGACTTAGATACCTTAAAACAAGGATCAGAAAAACCTGTAGACTCTTATTACAGTAGATTTAAAAAATTAATCAAATGAGTTGATACTAGAACCCTACTTCAAAGTTATACTATTTCAAGAAAGGATTGCATCTAGCAACTCTACCTATTCTTCTTACTCATAATCTTACAAACTTAGATAAACTTCTTCAACTTGCTAGAACTCATAAACAAAAAACTGACTTCACTACTAATGCTAACTCTGGCTTAACCAATTCTAATATTGCTATATATGAAAAGGAAATAGAGCAACTGACTAAACAAATGAACCAAATGTTATTAAACTATGTATCTATTGCATCTGCTTTAAGTACTCAAACTGAACCACAAACTCAATATTATTCAAACTAATTCAGACAATTTTACCAAAAACCAAAGCCTATTAATAGCCTGAAACCTAATAATTATTCAAGATTTGCTAATAATTCAAGATTCAATATTATTTGTTATCAATATAGTGAATATGGACACATCACTAGAGATTGTATAACAGAAAAATTACCTACTAAAGAACAATGTTATCAGATGAATATAAAATCACAAACAAATAGAAAATTTAATTATGCTGCTATAGAGGATGAAGAATATTATTCAGATGAAGATGAAGTTTATATTACTCACACTCTTCGTCCTAAACCTTATAGTACTAATCAAAAAGTACAAAAAGAAGCCCAAAGAGAAAATCAAAAGAAATCAAAATCTCAAAAAGAAATTAGATTAAGAAACAGAACTGTATTTTCTGATAAACCTGAATTAGAAAATATGGTTAATGAACCAATTGAAGTTCTTAAACCTTCCAAAACTATTAGAAAAAGAAATCAAAAACTTTCTTCTGTAATTGACCAATTGGAACTTTATGATATCTCCAAAGACCTCTTGAATAGACAAGCTCAAACTACCTATAAACAATTATTGCAATATCCTAACTAACGTAAAAACCTTGTTCAAACTATGAAAAGAGATAATGCACCTATTACTGAAGCAAACCATGTAGAGTTAGGACCCAAATGAAAGACAGTAGCAATGAGATGCCATGTAAACATTAAAGAACAGCCAGTAGTAGCTATTCTTAATTCTGGTGCTGTCATTAGCATAATTACAGCTAAATTAATAAAAAAACTTGGACTAAAAATTAACCAAGAATCAAAAACCATTATTATTACTGCTAATAAAGCTAGAGGAAAGCATTAGGTTCTATTACTAATGTGAAAATCATTCTCCAAAACATCGCGATTCCTATTGACTTACAAGTAATTAAATCAAAAGATGAGACATATTTGTTAGAAACTGATTGGTTTAACAAGTTTAGAGCAAACCTGGATTTCAATAATCATACTCTAAAAATTAGATACTTAGAGAAAAGAGCCACTATCTATACAACCCATGTAAGTGGAGAACCAATATCTAAAGAATTTGAAGAATTTACTAATAAAGATAAATAGATTAATGAAATTGAACAAGATGATGAAATAGAAACTTATTATACTAAAGAAGAAGGACAAGAAGATGAAAATTTATTCTATAACCTTTGGACGGAAGTCATTACTGAAAAGAACCCAGCAGCCTATGTTGCTTTTACTGCTGAAGTTGGGGTTCAACCTACTATTATGCAAGTCAACACTTCTTTCACCAACTCTGAGAAAAAGATTGCAGAAAAAATTCTTCTTAACAACTATCATATTTTTGCAAAAAACATATTTAAAAAAGGACAAACCTTAGAACTAAATCAAACTAATGAAGTTTGTTATGAAATTTATACTCCAAATACTCATCCAATTAAACAAAGAGCCTATAGAGCTTCTTCAGATGATCAAGAATTGCTCAAAAAAGAAATTGAAGAAATGGAAAAAAGAGGAATTATTAAAGAATCATGTAGTCCATGGTTCTCATCTGTAGTTATTGTGCCTAAGAAAAATAGAAAAAAAGAGACTCTGCATTGACTATCGCAAACTAAATGCAGTCACAGAAAAGATGTCTATCCTCTCTCTAATATCAATAAAATTTTATCTGTCTTTGAAGGAGCCCAATGGTTTACTAGCTTAGATCTGGCTAGCAGATATTGGCAAGTAGTTGTAATTAAAGTCAATAAAAGGAAAACTGTCTTTATTACTAAACAAGACACCTATGAATTTAATGTAATGCTTTTTGGACTGTGCAATGCACCTGCCACTTTTCAAAGGTTAATGGACAAGATTCTATGATCATTTATTAACAAGTTTGTTGTAATATATTTAGATGATATTATCATATACTCAAAGACTTTTTTTTTTTTTTTTTTTTTTGTTAAAGGCCATACTTGTGGCGATACTTTATTGACTTTATATTGGGTTAGCTATTACAACTATTTTTACAGAGATGAGAGTACAGCTAGTCATGCATGCAACTTTTGGTTGCCTATTTAAATAGTCCACCCTAAGGTTCTAACTAGATGCTATACCTATAACCTACTAGGAGATTATTCATTTAAACTCTCTGATCATCCATCCTGTCATATTGAAATCCCCAACTAACCCTCATATATACCTAACCAGTATGCCATCTGAGCAGTATGGTACCTATCCTTTTTGTACTGATTCCTAGGCCATTACACATTTCAGAGTACGTCATCTGTCAGTAAGATGCAGGGGGCCCCTTGTTGTTAACTATCTACTCACTTTTAGAACACTAATACAGGCTACCCTTGCAGAGTTCACTCAGATCCCAGTACTAACTTCATAGCATATCTCTAGTACTTTGAGTATACCTCTGTTTTGAACTCAGACTTCTAATCCAGATAGCCCAGAAGGACTGTAACCTGTTCTTGGTATATTGAGGCCAGCCCAATATTCTTTTTCTCCAGTTCAAAATCTGGTGGCCTGATTGGTAGTACTCCTCATCTGAGGTTCTTACCTACCTGAATCTTTCACATTAGTACCTATTTCCTAGGTCTAGCCTTTACAGTAGTACTGTTAAAGATCTGTGTTACTTCTCTGCTTTAAATTTCTAAGTGGGCTTTGGCTTCTCAGTTCTATGAATTTATACAGCCTGAAGACTTATTTTAGGTTTGCACCACCTGGTACTAGTTTGCATTCCTCTGTGTAACAGGTTACACAGATGCTCCAGACCTGCCAGTCATGCTGGTGTGATTATATTTACAGGTATCCTATCTCAACTGATTGACAAAATGCTGTTGCCATAATACTGTTTATATATTACATAAGTAATTATCCAAATTTCGCCATCATTGGGTTTTGAATTCACAACCTATTACTTGGGGGTATGACAACTTATCCACTTTACTAATTTGCCACACACTCTACTCAAAGACATTTGAAGAACATTGTCAACATTTACAAACTATATTTAAAGCCTTAAAAAAAGCTAACCTAAAACTAAATACAGAGAAATGTTTTTTTTTCTTAAATGAATTAAAATTTTTAGAACATATTGTTGGAAAGGATAGAATAAAACCTGATAAAGAAAAGATTGCTAAAGTGAAAAACTTTCCAACATCTACCAATGTATGACAAATTAGAGAATTCTTAAAACTTGCTTTCTACTACAGAAAGTTTATAAAAGAATTTTCAAAAATTGCCAAATCTTTAAATCTTTTATTACAAAAAAACCAATCTTATCAATAGGATGATAAACAAAAAGAAGCTTTCCAGATCCTTAAAGATCATCTTATCTCTGAACCAATTCTACAGTATCTTGACTTCTATCAGCCTTTCTACATTTATACCAATGCTTCACAATCTGGCT